AATGATCTTCATTTAGAAGAATTATAACGCCTCATGTTGAAAGACGAGATTGTTCGGAAGTCACTAGATGCATGCCTCTTCTAATAACTAAAGAAACAATTAATATAAGTACATGGAATATTCGGACAATGTGGGAGTCCGGGAAGAACTATGTGACACGACGAAGAAACCGGTAGGGAAATATAGTAAACCAGAGAGACAGGTCAAAGACAAAGAATGCAAGGCAATCATTGAGATTCCAGAACACAACGGTAGAATACTTCAGAGAACTCTGGAATAGACCATCTCGCTTGAATACACCGGATATTGGAGTAGCACACACAGACCTTCCTATAGATGTCACTCCACCAACGATCGAAGAAATCAGGATGGCCATCAACCAAATCGATGGGGGGAAAGCAGCATACCTGACAATATATGAGCTGAAGGTCTGAAGTCAGACATAAAAGTAACTGCAAGCATGGTACACACTCTATTTAACAAGATTTGGAAGGAACAACAAGTGCTGATGGACTGGAAACAAGGGTAAATCATCAGAATATCAAAGAATGCAGATCTGATCAAATGTGAGAACTACAGAGACATCACATTGCTCCCAGCCCTATGAAAAGTTTGCAACATTGTGTCACTGAACCGGATGAAAGATTCAGTAAACACCTGACTTCGAGATCTACAGGCTGTATTCCGTAGGGATCAGTCGTGCACAGACAAAATCGTGACACTATGGATCATCGTTGATCACTCAACTGAATTCAATTTTTCACTATACATCAACTCCCTCGACTATGAGAAAGCATTTGACAATGTGTATAGGAGAACCTTATGGGACGTTCTTTGGCACGATGGTGTATTTGAGAAAATCTTCAAAATCATTCGTAATTCACACGACGGACTATACTGCATAGTCGTGAGTTGGGGACAGCTGACAGGTGCATTGCAAGTGAGGACCGGAGTGAGATAAGGCTGCTTACTCTCCCTCCTTCTGTTTCTTCTGGTGTTCGACTAGGCTATGAAGACAGTCACATCGGAGGGAAGGCACGCAATACAATAGAAAGCTTGTGTTCAACTAGACGATTTGGACTTCGTAGATGACCTAGATCTACTATTCCATACCTACCAACAAATGTAATTGAAGACAACCAGTGTAGCAACGGCCTCTGAATCAGTAAGCCTCAACATACACAAGGGAAAAACTAACATCCCCAAATACAACACAGAGAACACCAACCCAAACACACTTGATGGAGAAACTCTGGAAGAGATGGAATCTTTCACGTACTTCGGCAGCATCATCGATGAACAAAGATCTAATACAGATGTTAAGGCACGGATTGGCAAATCAAGGCGGTATTCCTACAGTTGATGAACATACAAAACTCAAAACAACTGTCAAACAATGTCTAAGTCAGAATATTCGATACGAACGTCAAAACAGTTCTACTGTATGGAGCTGAAACTTGGAGAAATACCACAACCATCATCAAAAAGTGCGAGCATTTATAAAGTTGTCTACTCAATATCCGTTGACCAGATAGCATCAGCAACAGACTACTGAGGAAGATAACAAACCATCCTCTATCTGAAGAGGAAATTAGGAAAAGACGTTGGAAGTGGATAGGACATATATTACGGAAATCAAAGTTTATCACAAAGCAAGCCTTAACTTGGAATCGTAAAGGGAAACGGAAGACCAAGGAACACATTGCGTCGGCATTCGGGAGCAGACATGTAAATAATGAATATCAACTGGTAAGAACTTAGAAGGACTTTTCACGATAAAGTTCGATGGGAATATTGGTAGGCAGCCTTCCTCCATGAGGGTTAACAAAAGTACTTATTACACGTATGATGGAACACTTAGATTAATAGACACATTACTTATTCGATTGGGTTCAATCAGCAACATTAACGATTAAACAACAGTACATAAATTAACGTGAATAACTCAGTCGTGTAGAGGGTTATTCTCAAATAGAGTAACTTAGTGGCATCGCTGTAATTGTAACACCATAAAGACGGAGTCCATAAGTCCGATTCTCACTGTAAACATCAGTGATCCCTCAAGATCGATTAGATAAATCTATATTGGCAGTGCATACTCAGGAGCCAACGGGCGATAAACTGATGACGTTAAGCTTTTTGAGAGATTATGATAAGTAGATTTATATCATTATGAAATGGCGAAAAAGATTTGCAGCTCAGATTGAGACTTATGTTACCTGAGACGATCGGTTTAAATACGAACCTGTTTACTCTCATAGTCCTGAACAGCATCATCAATAACCGGAAGATTATAATCGAATTAGAAAAAAAAATCTTAATTGAAATTGAAAAATGAAACAAATTTATCCTCTCAAATCATTCTAAGTAGATATATTTATGTATACGCTTAATAATAATAGACAATTTATACATCGATAGTCAATCAGATATTTGATATCTCCCAAATGAAAGTGGCAAACGTTAGTTAACGACTAGGCAAACAACTATTAAAATCAAGTTTCGCTCATTGGAAATCTCATCTTATATGAAATCAGGTGATGGGGAAACGAACCTTTCTATGATTGTCCCTAATCTCAAAAAATATCTTAACATGAAATCATATCCTTCAGAGTTATACAAATTGTATTGAGGACCTCCTAAACCGATACACATATGTGCCAGGTCGTACGTTGTGTATGACTGATCAATTGTTATGTGACTTTTTTTATTTCATTAAGCATGAATCTACTTCAGTGAGATAGTTTAATTCCCTTTATTTAACTTTGGTGAACGTTTGGACCAGATTAGCATGTAATTTATCTAATAAATACACAAAATTCAACTAGTGTCATTGATAACAAATTATGTTTGAAGAATGATGCACACCGACCACTGCATCGAGATAATGCGCCTGCACATTCTACTCACTATGATCACTCATCAGTTTGTTTCGTAATCTGATAACCACTCTAAATAATCCCTTCTATTGGCCGGTGATTTCTGTTTCTTTCCAAAATGTAAACCGGTCACACGAGGTTGTTACTAGAACGATATGAATATATGAAACATCTGAAAAGTTTAACTCCTAAAGATTTTTTGAGTAATTAAAATGGAGGTGGAGCAAGTGTGTATTGTCACAAACTGGCAGTATTTGTGAAAGGAGCAATTAATGTATCATAAATTACGTAAAAGAAATTTCTTTAACTTCGAGTATTTTTCGGACAAACTCCTCAGTAATACGCATTCATGAACCTAGGATCTTCATAACTCGAGACTAGCGCTTAAGGTTTAAATATACAACAGGTTGATAAACTGTTCATTTCCTTTTTCATTTCGTAATGAATACACATCTCAGTCCTACAGGAAGTTGGTCGCGGCTCCGATAGCTCAGTGGTAGGGTCCTGACTGTGAAGCTGGGTGACACGAGATCGAATCCGCCAGGGAGCACCAGTTCCTTCAAGATTACAGGTACACCTTGATGACGAGTGCCAAGTAGCACGAAACCCGGGTCCAGGGTTTCCTGTCGACTACCTCCAACCACCATCTAATCTGAATACACAATAGGACAAAAAACACTCGTCTCTTAATCCATCTCTTCTACTTCACACTTGCACAACGCAACTAAATACAGACTAACAGTATTAAACCAAAACAACAAAAAGTAAACAAGACAAATAATTAAGGTAGTTCAAAGATAAATTAATGATGAATATATTGGAACGCACACACACACACAATTCATATGTTCTATGCATGAATTCCAATACTCAATAATGTAAGTACTGAAGATGTAATCGCTGCATTATCTAATAAAAACAAATTTTACATGCAAATGAAAAAAAAGAAAAGAAAAACACAACATGGAAATGAGTTTCAAAATGAGAAAGATGATCTGTGTGTGTTATGTGTGTGAAATCGGAAATGAGAGCACACATGTTAAACTGGTTGAAATCAATAATATTCATAAAATACCTAGAATAATTGTTATGTTTACAATAAATAAAGGTAATGAATGTATAACTCTAGAATAATAGACAGTGAATCGTTTGATAATGTCTAATGACGTTCATAGTTGTTGTCAAATCTCATACACATGAACAGAAGTAAGTTTCAATTACAAGGATTGAATTTCTTTTTAAATGATATACGTCATGTGGAAAAGAGGAAATAGCGCCAGATAGAGAGAAAGGACAACTTGGTAACTCAACATTCCATACATTTTCAAGAAAGCTCAAACCCCTCCCCCCGCCCAACTCCCAAATCTCTTGATGTATAACAACAGTAGGAATATACCTACGAGTAAATAAGTGATGAAGCAGTTCTAAAGAGAAAATCTAAACACTTATGCCATGCACGTACACACACACACACAGAGACAAATCATAAAATATATCAAAGAAAACTATAGAACTGTAAACTACAAAAGTTAAATTACTATTAAATGTGAAAGATAATTAGTTTATATGCTAATAATGATGTATATTTATATGCATTCATTTGAATGAATAGATGTGAACAAGGAAGACAATTTGTGAACATCATCAACAGACAAAACAAAAAAAAAACAGTACAAAAAAAAATAAATCAATATAGTTGAAGGATTGGGATGAATAAAGACTAGAATAGAATATATTCCATAATGAATTCATTTCTTTATCATCAACAATGAATAGTTCTGTTTATCATTCTATGTTAATGGATCATTTGAAGTCATGGTTCAAAAAGAAAATCTTATGTCTATATATGTATATAATAAATGCATTGTGAACATATTAGAATGAATTAGCTAAGAAGATTTGACTATTTTAACCAACAAACAAATAGAACAAAACACAAAACAAAACAAATTGATATCATAAAGCGGAATAAAGAAAGAAAGAAAGAACGAACGAATGAATGAATGAACAAATGAATGAATCACGCACTTTTGACTAGATATATATATAACTGCTGCTGCTGCTTGTTTCTTTTTTAATCATTCTTCTTCTTCTTCTTCTTCTTTGAAGTGTTTGTTGAAGTTAACGACCACATTCAGAACACATAATCATATCATCACTGGTAAGAAAACCTCTACCGACTAAATTACAATTACATTTTCCACATAGAAAACATTCTGAATGCCAATGACGATCTTCAAATGAAATAAATTTACAACCACCAAATCCTAAATTTCAAAAAAAAAATCGGTAAGAAATATGTTTTACATAACATGGGTACAATCAATATCATATCAAAACAAAAGTTGGTAACGTTGGTTTGATCGAACAAACAAAAAACAACGTTTATTTAAGAACTGGTGTAACTATGTATTCTTCAAGTCAAATAAAAGGGAAATTGATGTCAATTATTCTTGAAAGTGTTATGTTCTCTGAGCTGGATGATACGGCTTAGAATTATTTATCTATTTATTTTAACACATAGATATTCATACAAGGAGGCACCAAATACATATGTGCCACACAAATCTCATTCGATATGTGTGACGGCTGTGATACTGACCGGGTGTCTTAACCGAACCAGGTGGTTTTCTTAGAGGGTCCCACATCCCAAGCCTTCGACCTGAAGGCCTGATCCACAAGGCAGTGGAGCAACGTAAAGAGATGCAATTCCCATGGTAGCCGGTGACCAACAATTGGTTCATACGCCATTTGTTCCTTCAGGATCCTGGAGCCCATGTGCAGCATTGGTTCGGAATCCGGTTAAAGCTTCAGACAATCGCTTTTCGTCCTCTCAATTTCGTAAACAACAGTAATGCCACGAGAAGGCATTGAGTAGAACTTCCTTGGCAGAGGCCATATACGCGTGGCCATGTGAGAGCATTTCGAGAGGGAGAGTGGACTCTCCCCAATCTTGGCCGTACCAGGGCATTTGGGGGCTAGAAAGTCAAACACCTATCGAATTTTCATCCTCAGCTACAGATATTCCTCTTACTTTTTAAAAAAATCAATACTATTTAGAAAGCTTTTGATTGGGTTAAAAATCATTCTAACAAATTTAAGAAACATGGATGAACATCATCTATCATGTGACACAAACAAGTAAAATTATTCAATAAATCTCATCTATTAGTATAAGATTGTGGAGATTGAAATCACAAACATATTGAAGTTAGACCGTTGAAAATCCGAAAGCATTGGACAGAAGAGGGAAGTTGATTATGAATACAGTGGTCTTGAGTGCTGTTTGAAGTATGAGGGCGGTTATCGTTTCTCGATTGTCCACACCGTAGAAGGGTTCTTCTGGAAGTACCTGAGGAAATTAGATTAAAGGTGGTCAAATGACCGGAGAGCGTGATCACAGTGCACAAGGGACAACTGATTGAGGTCGGTCACACATGACATTTTCATGAGTAATTTTCGTGTCAGCTCCGTACTTGTTCAGACCTTACCGCCGGAGACGGATATCCGTGGGATAAGGTGAGGTGTGCATTTTTAGGGTCGACCTTTTCTAATCCCACCCCTCCTTGTGGGAAGGCAGCATCGCTGTCATCCTGGTTGTCTGAAGGAAACACCTTATTACTGTCACACCTCTGTACAGTCAGCAGTACGACTTCTCCTTCGAACCTTAGGTTTGTTGCTTTTAGTTTTACCGCTCTTCAACTGACCTGTCTGACATGGTAGGACCTTGAGGAACGGTTGTTCCAGCCAGTATAGCTCGGTTGCTTCATCACGATAGGCAAGCCCGACCACCACATCAAGGTAGCAACAACGGTCGGGAAGCATTGGATAGACGATTCATCTTACTTTAGGACTCTACAGCAGTGCATATCTGCGATTCCTCAACCGGGAATCAAACGCAAGAATTTGTATTGAGCGCGAACACTTAACCACTTGATTTGAATGAAAGATAGACAAAAAGATGGAACGTGAATGTATCTACCCCGTTATGAACGATTCCGAGTCATAACACTGAAAGATACTCTTTTCTGGCTACTTGAAGACAGACACATCAAACAACACAGACATAGAAACAAATAAACACTTAATATTCATATTCTCCTGTCAAGTTTCAACAAACACTCCTTCCCTTCACCTACCAAAATAAACACTAAAATCTGTGTTTTAATACTACCGTATCCAATTTAGTTAATCCAGCACTAGTTGTCGATTAGTTTAATTGTTAATACTATCAAGACATAATCTAATCTGTATCGATAGATAGTAGGGATCAATTTCTTTTTCTTTTTTTAGGAGAGTAGACATGATGCTAGAAAAGAAATTCTATATTTACAATAACTGAGTTATATATAATCAAAAAAATATTAATAACTAACTAATTAACTAACAGATTTCTTTTCAAGTCATCTTCATGGTGAACTGCCCTCAAATGCCCTGGTACGACCAAGAATGGGAAGAGTCCGCTCTCCCTCTCATAGTGCTCTCACATGCCCACGTGCATACAATCACTGACAGGGAAGTTCTACTCACTGCCTCCTCGTGGCATTACTCTGGTTTACGAAATTGAGAAGACGAAAAGCGATTGTCCGAAGCTTTAACCAGGTTAGTGGATATGGAGGATCCATCTAGGGGAGCTGGAAAACCCTGATCCCAAACCAATGGTGTAGTACATAGGCTCCAGGATCCTGAAGGAACAGATGGCGTATGAAACAATCGTTGGTCACCGGCTACCATGGGTCTGCATCTCCTGACGTTCTTCCACTACCTTGTGGATTAGACCTTTCGGTCGAAGTCTTCGGGTGTGTCCCTCTAATAAAACCAACTGCTTTGGTTTGACTACCCGGGCAGTATCCCAGCCCTCAAATGAATCGAATGATTTATATGTTTAAATAAACAAATCATGGCGAACTAATAATCTTACAATTTTTCTAATCAATACACTTAATGAAAATAGATATTTTCCAAATGGATTGAAAAATCTTAACAGATGTATACACTCTTTGTGTTCTCTCAAATTCTAATCTCCTGAATCCTAAATTATTACACCACCCACCCTGGATTAACCCCCCTCTTTTGACCTCTGACCTGTTTCTAGCATATAATATATATATATATAGTTATTATTGTAATCAAGTTATTTACACTCATTTATGTCAATTGTTTCACACTATCTCCATGTAAAATTCTATCACAATTTTGGTTTGTAAGCAGCTGACGAGAAACCTCGAAATAATATGAATTCATACTATTCTGCATCAATGTTTGTTCTTGCTCTATTTGAATCCTTCTTGTCTCTTTTTTTCCTCTTTCCAAATTTATCTCACTGGATTATACTCTTTAAATAACATCTTGGAACCCTAGTCTTTCCGATTACCGCTCATACTCTTACCGCCTCTACCACTATGGGATTTGAATCAACAACTGCGTCTTTGTGCTAATGTGGTATGACAACTCGAACTGATGGACGTACGTACGAAGTTCTACGTTGTTGCTGACTGACTAACGAATATAAAGAAGACAAAATTTAAAAAAAAATTGGATAAAAATACTTTTCTTTTATAGAAAACAAGAGCAAACAAACAAACAAACAAAAAAAGGAACTTTACCAGTAATTGGTTTGGTACATTTTGTACATTTTTTAGCAAATAATTCACCATAACAATCAGCACAATATGGTTGTTCATCTTTAGAAGTGAATTTTAATCCTGCTAATTGTTTAGAACAACTAGTACAAGTGAAACATTCTTTATGCCATGGATTCCCTTTGTATGTAACTCCACCACGACGTATAACCTGATAATATATATATGTAGTAACAATATGTAGACATTTAAAAAATGTCACTTATTTTTTTTAAAGAAAAAAAAACACGACTGAAATTTTCAAGTTTAATGCCAATAAATACTTTTTGGTGAAGAAAAGTTGTTCGTTTTAAATTAGAGTATAAATGGGCAAAATGTTTTATTTAGAGAGTTGACATTAGGGCTGCCTTCGATTCGTTGGATCGGACTGTTCTCTGGGATTATCTATTGAAGAACAGCGTGCCTGGGAAATTTATTAACATCCTAAAGGCCCTATATGCAAACACCTCAGGTAGAGTGAGGGCATACAACCACCTCTCTCCATTGTTCCATTCGAGAAGTAGGGTTAGACAGCGTTGCCAATCTCACCATTCCTCTTCGACTTTGCCATCGATGACATTGTAGAAACAGCTCTGATGAATGTAAGTAATGGCGGTGTAGATCTGTTGCCTGGAGAAAGACTTTTCGACCTTGAGTATGCGAATAATATTGTCTTACTGTGCGATAATCCTGAAGCCATGCAATCCGCACTTAGTCAGTTGGCAATCAGTGTCCGTAGGTATGGTATGTGCTTTTCACCTTCGAAGTGCAAAGTACTTCTACAAGACTGGCAGGGTTCTAATCCTGTACTGACCCTAGATGGTGAGCAGGTAGAAATAGCGAGAAGTCCGTGTATCTGGGTAGTTGCATAAGTGCTGGTGGTGGCGTGAGTGATGAGATCAATGCACGTATAATGAAAACCAGAGCGGCTTATGCCAATCTGGGTGCCTTTGTGATGTCAGTCTGTCTGTAAAAGGTCGGATCTACAATGCGTCGGTGAGAGCAGTTTTGCTCTATGCTTGTGAAACCTGGCCTATCGAGTTGAGGACGTTAGACGACATTCTGTGTTCGATCTTCGTTGTCTCCGAAGGATTGTTGACATTCAGTGGCAACATCATGTTAGTAATGCAGAGGTTCGGCAACGTGTGTTCGGGTACAGAGACGATAATGCAATTGGTGTCACCATCTCGAAACACCAACTTCAGTGGCTTGGATATGTTCTACGAATGTCGTCCCAGAGAATTCCACGTCGTGCATTATTTGCCGACTTTGGGACTGGTTGGAAGAAGCGGAGAGGTGGTCAGTGTATGACATGGTGTCGTGGTATGAAAGAAAGCTGCAATGGACTGGCTTGTGTTGGTCCTTCACGACTCTCTTGCTAGAATCCAAGAGATGGTGCAACACAGTGGCTAGAGACGTTATCAGATATGGCTGAGAATAGAAGCCAGTGGCGATCCTGCTGTAACCTTCTTTTACTTTCTTCATAAAAAGTGGTTGTGTCTTCCTTAACTGAAAGAATTCTTTTGGTTGTACCTTTTTGTTTCCCTCATTATTATTATTACACTACCTTACACTAATCTGTACGTTATTTTTCTTCTTTTTTTTCTTTAACGCTCCTTACTTTTTTTTCCTTCTCTTCAAATTCCCATTGTTTTGTATGGCGCACATGTATTCGGTGCCCTCTTGTACTAATATTTATGTGTTCAAATAAATAAATAAATAAATAAATAAATAAATAAAAAAAAAAAAAAGAGTTGAATGAACCCAGTTACTACAAGTCAGACGAAAATCATACATAAAAAACGGAAATATTAGACATTAAGAGATTGACATATGTCATTTATCATTGAAATGAACATTGTTTTGATGAATATAGTCGGAGAAAATCAATAAAAGTAAACGATGTTAAGTATGGCTAAGTTCTAGAACCTGACAAAGGGTCGATATATATATTTACACTCAAGCCTGAAACCCGTTTGATTTTCTCGAGATTGTTCTTCAACAGCTTCAGTTAAACATTGGATAATTATTAAGGCTAATGTTTTAGATACTGTACTCGTCAATTTATTTACTATTTTTGTCCCCTCTTATAACTTAGACAATCAGGGATCGAGACCGGTCAGATGGGATCACATTCACTCCCTAGATTTTAGTTATTGTCCCAGTCAATTCGATCTCCGAAAATGATCCATCAGGAACAGCTCATGTCCCTTGTTTTAGATTAGGTATGGCTGAGATAAAAAAAAACAGAATGAGGAACTATATAAACGACAATTAAAATCTAAACACAAGAAATACATTTCAAAAGGAGCAATGTGATCGAACGATTGGAAATTAAGAATGATATTAACCAGACGATGGTAAGCAAGATAAAGAATGAACGAACTTTGCTTTCTTTCCATAAAAAAACCATTTACCAAGTGCAGATTTATGGTGTTCGAACCTACAACCTATTGGTTGAAAGTCATATGACTTAATCATGATGTGTCAGTGTCTTCTAATATTCAATGAACCTTTAGCTGGAAAACCACACAATTTTATCCTGTTTTCCATGTAGTTATTATTGATATTTAGCGAATAAAATTTTATGAAATTTTCTAAAATGACAAAAGAAAAACATAAAACCACTAGTTTTTCCAAATCAAGGTTTGCAAGGATTTCCATAGTCAGTCAGTCAGCTACAACGTAGGACCAGCCACATGTATGCATCGGCCCAGGTTGCCATACCTCATTAGCACAGCAAGATGAACACCGGATTCATAGGAGTGGTTAGGTCAAAGGTGGTAATATATAGGAGAAAGATTGCAATAAGGATATAGTATAGGAAGAAAGAATTAGTTCGTAGAAAGAAAGATGTGAAGTGATCTTAATCTCTTAGTTTAAGAGAAGACAGAGAGTGTATACACCGACGCCATTGTGATCGATCGATTCTGAGCCATGTCACCAAGAGTTTCCAACCATTGGTTACGATAGTCACGCGGACCCCAACCAAGTAGTCTGCATCTACCAACATGGCTCAGACTAGAAGTTAATGTCTTCAAGCACTGATGCCACGTTTTGGTTCGGCCATCCCTAACTTTCTTCCAACCATCCCGAACACCGGTTAGGATTGCACGTCGTGGTAATCATTACAATAAATAGTAGAGTAGGAAAGTAATGAATGTAAACCTACTTCTGAACATTTAGTACAACGTTGAGCATATTTCGCTTCATAACATGGTACACATACAACTTGATTTTCTCGTGGAATAAAACTTTTCGCACCAATTGGTTGTTTACATTCAACGCATAAAAAGCATTCTTCATGCCATTGTTGTCCACGATATTCATATTTACGCATTCCAGCTTTGAATACACCTTGACAACCATCACATCGTGCAGCAAAACGTTCATCATAACAATCAGAACAATATAATTGTTCTTCTTTTGTAGCAAATGGTCGATCAGCTAATGAAGTAGTACAAGCAGAACATTTGAAACATTTTCATGCCAATGTCTTTCTTTAAATGAAAGATCCTGGGAGAAAATACAAAAAAAAAATAATAATGTTAAATTATGAAATATAGTCAATTCTATTAAAGATTGACAACACAATTGGAACAAATACACTAATGAAAAGAGATTGGATACAATCTCTTTTGGAATGCAGCAAAATACAACACGTCTAATGGAAATAACAGTGGTGTGAAAGCTGAATGTTAAATATTAAACTAGTTCTTTTTTAAGAATTTAGCATGCATTCAATTGAACACACAAATTTAGAGAGAGAAAAAAAAAGAAAAATGAGTAAAAGTATAAGTATGTTTGTGTAGTAAGGAAACGAATGAACTAACATCATGTTTATACATAGGAAACTCTATTACTCCCACTCACAACTAGTTAGTGACAAAAACAAAACAAAAAACTAATGATCGCTATACATTTGATTTCTTGTAGATGATAAGAAGAAAAGAGGAAATCAATGAGTGCATAGAAGGAATATAGTCCAACACAATAATAAACTGATATCCATTAAAAAAAAAGGAAACACATGAAAATCACAGGGAGCACGATTACGACGATACAAAGCGATACCATGTAACATTGGCATCATAGGCGTTAGGTGAAGGATGAATAGATCTTTTGATGGATTTTCACCTGCCTTGATTGTATCACATTGCCATGCTTGTCCGACGCTATAACCAGGACCAAGAATATATGGCATTGGACAACTTGGATGAAATCTAACATTTGATTGTTGAGATGATGTATAAACTGCATTTCGTACAGGTTCTGATGCATCCCGAACAAGTGATGTAATGCCAACTTCCGGTTTTAACATACCCTAATAGTTATGTACAAGTAGTATATAAGAATGTAAAAAGTTTTTAACAGATTGTAATTGTACAGAATGAACTGTACTAGATGATGTTATAAATCGAGTAAAATATCACAAGTTCACAATGTATTTTTGACATCTAAGATGGAAACTTGGAAGAGCATATTGATTAGTGAATGATATCATTCAGGTGACTGATAAAGATAGTGATTCTCACTCTGGATTAAATCGAGATACAATTTATGTGCTAAAAACACACAATTAAGACTTTTGATGGAAAATACTCAAGTTTATTAAACATGATATATCGTATAGAAAATCAGTTAAGTGAATACAGCATCGCCTACAAAATAAAGAATTCGAAAGTCACTTACACAATATCCACCATGATAAAGGTATTAACCCTTATTTACAAAAAATTATTCACTGTTAGATACCAAAAATTAGCAAAAATATGGTTAAGTAATATTTTGATTAACAAATGGTTCACAATACTCAAATATCATGTAATTATATAAGTATTAGAATAATTATCGGTTAAAGTATAGCATTTATTTTGACACATACATATTCGTAAAAGGAGGCACCAAATACATATGCGCCACACGGATCTCATTTGATATGTATGAGGGCTGTGGTACTGACCGGGTGCCCAAATCAAAGCAGGTGGTTTCTTAGAGGGCCACACCTGGAGCCTTCGATTTGAAGGTCTGATCCACAAGGCAGTGGAGCCGCGTAAGGAGATGCAATCCCATAGTAGCCGGTGACCAACGATTGGTTTATATGCCATTTGTTCCCGCAGAATACTGGAGCCTATGTGCACCATTGGTTTGGAATGAGAGTTTTCCAACTCCCCTATGTGAACTCTCCATGTCTACCAACTCGGTTAAAGCGCCGGACATTCGCTTTTCGTTCTCTCGATTTCGTAAGCAACAGTGATACCACGAGAAGGCGATGAGTAGGACTTCCTTGGAAGAGGTTACATACGCGTGGCCATGTGAGAGCATTTAGAGAGGGAGAACGGACTCTCCCACTCTCGGCCGTACCAGAGTATACAACCAGTAGCGTTGTTAGTATGATCACTTTTTTTACAATATAATAGAAGCTAACACTATTCTTCTCATTCTGTACTCCTAGTTAATCATTGTTAAATTATCTCCATCTATTTGTTCGTACAGTGCACAATAACATACTGGGTCTTGGACTGTGTAATTATATAATACACCATACCGATTAAAACATGTATTAAAATCAATACAACTGTTTTAACATCCTGAGTTCTCATTTTCTATCATTCTAACTATTAAACAATCAGCTGATTTTATTATGGCGAGACTATCATTTATGGACGAACCAATCCGATATAAGATAACGAGTCACGAATTCGAACGCGGAATTCATCCATCCATTTGGCTAAATAGAGTTTTGGTATTATAGCTGATGTCAGTTCGTGATGAAAACCCTAAATCTAATTTTTAACCCTAACCATCAACTGTAAATGAGAATTCTAACTGCTTTATAACCCTCATTTAGTCCTAATTAGTAGTTGTTCACTCTCAAGGTCACTTCAGTGTCGCTCAAAAGTCGTCTATAAATTATAGTCTCACCCTTGTTTGGTAAGACTGAACAACTTTTTCACCTGTAAATGTAAGTCAAACTATAGGATGAGTTTACTGCGATAAAAACCATAACCCCAAACTGAAAGCCATTGCTACCAGGAACTTCGAAATAAAAAAAGACACATTGCTAGTTTTACTTTAGTATAGTACAGTGAAGTTTATAAAGAGAGTAGTGAGACTTTAATTTAAATAAATAAACGACATATTAATTCTAGGAAGAAAAACATCCTGAAGACTAGCAAATTGCATGATAAATTAGCTCAGTTGCCAGGCATAAGTTCATATATTTGGAGTCGAGCAGCATCCTGAATAGAAAATCTAGTGAAACTAACTTGCACAAACCGAAGTAAATGGAGGGGATTCAAATCTGCAACTTGTAGATAAAAGCTTAACGCCTTAGCTGCTGATCCAGCACCCCACATCAAGGTTCGATTTCGTTTCAGTCTCTAAATGAACGCTTGGGTTTTCCGATGAACTGATTGACGCAACTATCAAGGCTGTAGTTAAACTAAAGCTTCCTAGTGTTATATTTTTTCTCTTAACAGAAAAAAAACGAGAAATGTAACTCGGGACGCCAGGGAATATAATGGAGTCACTAAAGCTACAAAAACGAAGAATTTAGTTCGTATAAGAGCTAAGAAAAAACCTCAATAATTAGATAAAAGCCGTATGAGTTGTGTTAAAGGACAACCACGAGTTTGAATTTAGCTTTCCGAACAATTCATCAAAGATGAAAAAGTAACTTAACTTACAGTAAAATATGTACATATTATATTCCCCTGATAACAGATGAGTAGTAGCGAATTGAACTATTGTTTCATCAATGTACAGACTCTTGGTCAACATTAAAGATAACCTTTAAAGTAAACTTTCATTTCAACAGATTAGGAATATTTCATTTATTTATGAAATAATATTACATTACATTACGGAAGTACTACAAAATTAACTTTTTAACGGCTAATTCAATATGCATTGCTTGGGATTCAACATTTTATCATCCTCAATCAGTCAGCTACAATGTAGGACCAAGCACATATATGCATCCGTTCAAGTTGCCATACCTCACTCATTAACACAATAAGATGGACACCGGATTCATAAAAGTAGTTAATTCAGAGGTGGTAATATATAAAAGAAAGATTGCAATAAGGATATAGTAAAGGAAGAAAGAATTAGTTAGTAGAAAGGAAGATATGAAGTGATTTTAATCTCTTAGTTTAAGAGAAGACAGGGAGTGTATACACCGACGCCATTGTGATCGATTTTGAGCCAGGTCACACAGAGTCTCCAACCATTGGTTACGATAGTCACATAAACCCCAACCAAGTAATCTGCATCTACCAACATGGCTCAGACTAGAAGTTAGTGATTTCAAGCACTGATGCCACGTTTTGGTTTGGCCGCCCCTAACGTTTTTCCAACCATCTCTAATAGCGGTTAGCATTGTCATCCTCAAGAAGATTGTGGTTCGAGAGAAAAGACAATGAAAATAATATATCTAAGGCAAAAACTGAAAATGTTATCATGAGTAGTCATATAAAACCCCATATATGTCTAGCAGTAGGAATTCTATCATGTTTTACTAACAAGAAACAGACATATATACTAATGAACAGTAGATTTATTATGTCGACATAATGATACTAAACTATTTTGACAATGCATTAAGAAAATACCACACTAGATGGACTATTTCTAATTGATTCCATTAAAACTACATATTAAAACGTGACATTGGGAAAGTAAAACAAAATTCTACCCTATAATCAAACATATATGTATTCCTAACAGAGAATACAAAGTAGCTACGACTATATATTCGGTCTTATTTCAACATATGAAACTCTCACTTGTGTATCCTTAAATCATCATGAACAAATCAATAAATTCATACGTCTTTTGTCATGGTTACAGCCTGTGCGAATTGCTGAGCCTAGTGAATGAGTAAAACAATCCAATCTATAGAGAATGACTGACATTCCAAAATTAAATTGTAACCTATAAATACCAATGTAGTTTTCTACACAACTAACAAGTAATCACAGTATGGCTTTAAAAAATCTAGTGAAACTATAATTTATAAACAAACAGATCTCGGATTTAAGCGCGAACTTCACTCATCCATTGGGCAAAATAGAGTTTCGGCATTATCACTTATATCAGTTCGTGATGAAAAACACCTAAATCTAAATTCTAATCTTAACCATCAATTGTAAATCATAATTCTAATTCCTCACACACTGGTTTATAACTTATTTGATCCTAGGTATTACCCAAGCTCCCAAGTTTGGGGAAACTCCCGAAGTCAAATGACTTTCATCAATGTTTGGGGAATCTGAGGAAACCTCGAAAGTTAAATTACCTTGACTAAGGTTAAAAAGGGGATTTTGAGGAAATAATGGGGAATTCCTCCAGGTCTGGGGAAATTTTGGGGTTTTTATGCCATTTCCCCAAAATTGGTAGCTCGGATAAGTTAACACTGTCAAGGTCAGTTTAGCGTCACTCAAAGGTTGTCCATAAATGATAGTTTCACCAACAACAACAAAAAAAAACAACTAAATCAAACTATACATTGAAATTATTTCATAAAATTAACTAACCTTTGAATCACAACCAATTTTTTCTTTACATTGTTCACATGTATTAGCAAATTTAGCTTCATAACAAGCTAAACAATGTGGTTCATCATCACGTAATATATAACGTTGTCCTGTTAATGATGCATCACAACTATGACAAGCAAAATGACCAGAATGATGTTCTTGATCCATAGCTCTAGTATATTCTTCTGAGAAAATAAGCTATAAACGATGATGAAGAAAAAAATATAATAACAGTAGAACGCTTGGCTAATTTGTATTTAGCTGGTTAGATCATTGATACACAGACACAAACACACACACACACCATAAATAGGAGTCCTATCGAATAAATGAACCAATAAGAGATGTAGCATATGACCTTGTCTACACTGTTGTATTATTGAAGCAATTCTATTTACAATGAATATAGACAGGCTAGGCACACACATATATCCAATAGAACACATATATAAAGATGTGCAATGAAGTTAGTCAATAACCAATCAGATTTCAGTTTTGTCTATGACATGGTCATCCCTTCCACCCCTCTCTTTCCCTCTTTAGTAGACCGATATTAAGTTGTCTGATCAGATTAACTAATTCATAAATTGGATTAGTCATACCCTAATCTCCAAGTCCAAGAATTCAGCTCCTGATTGGTTGAAAATGTTATGAAAAGTAGCTGATTATAAACTATTGGTTGATTTAATTTTGTTATATAAAAATGTAACAGCTTCTTTTTTAAATGTCGACATGTGATTGGTGAATATTATGCATAAATATAAAAAAGCATGATTTAGATGGTGGTTGGAGGTAGTCAACAGGAAACCCTGGACCAGGGTTTCGTGCTACTTGGCACTCGTCAGCAAGGTGTACCTGTAATCTTGAGGGGACTGATGCTCCCTGGCGGATTTGATCTCGTGTCACCCAGCTTCATAGTCAGAGACGTTACCACTGAGCTATCCGAGCCGTGACTAACCTCCTGTAGGACTGAGATTTAATCACCACCCAGTGATCAATCAATTGTGAAAGCATGATTTAACATGGTAGAGATTGTAGAGTTGGATCCGCCGGTCATCTGCGATGGAGTGACCTTCCGATGTGTTTTTTCAATTGTGTTGTAGTATCAGTCAGAATATGGTAGTACCCAAGATATTTAATATGGAAGAACGTCTATCTAATCTACTCATCCACTAAGTTGCAATTTCTCAGGACTTAATCTATGGCCATTGAAAATCAGTCGAATAATAAACTTGTCAGTTTGTTTCAAGATAATAACATCGGGTCAACAATGATTATTTCTGGCATTTCAAATAGCACGATTCATATTGTACACTTAAAAGAAGGGCGATGAATTGTTCTTATTACTAATATCTAGATCTTAGGATCACTTGATGATGAGTCAGAATGTGACACATGAATATGAAATCTTTCCAGTTAACGCATACTTCAGTGCCAATGTTTTACATGTGTTGGTTGTAATGATAGAACTCGGATGCTTTTAAGTATGGCCGTTGTTGCTACCTTGACGTGGTGGTCGGACTTGCCTGTAGTGATGAAGTAACCGAGCTATACTGGCTGGAACAACCGTTCCTCAAGGTCCTACTATGCCAGACAGGTCGGTTGAAGAGCGGTAAGACTAAAAGCAACAAACCCAAGGTCCGAAGGCGAAGTCGTACTGCTGACTGTACAGAGATGTGACAGTAATAAGGTGTTTCCTTCAGACAACCAGGATGACAGCGATGCTGCCTTCCCACAAGGAGGGGTGGGATTAGAAAATATCGACCCTAAAAATGCACACCTCACCTTATCCCACGGATATCCGTCTCCGGCGGTAAGGTCTGAACAAGTACGGAGCTGACACGAAAAGTACTCATAAAAAGGTCGTGTTTGACCGGCCTAGAGCAGTTGTCCCTTGTGCACTGTGGTCACGCTCTCAGGTCATTAAGACCACCTCTAATCTAATTTCCTCAGGTACTTCCAGAAGAACCCGGGAAATGATAACCGCCGTCATACTTCTAACAGTACTCAAGAATTTTCTTGAAAAATATTTTACCAAAAAGACTTTTAAATTATTACAACATTTAACAATTCATAGAATAGAATATTTCTGCAAAAAATACATTGGTTACCTTAATTATATAATTGTAAACAATTTTACTTGAGGAAATGACTTACATGATCACATGTCACACAACGTGGACGTACTGATTGAGCATAATGTCGTAAACAATAAGGTTGATTATTTAACCAAGCATATATATAATCCACTAAATATTCATTACATATTGTACATCGAAAACAATTCAAATGCCAAACTGGTGTATGATTTGAGGGCATGTTAGACATGTCTTCTATTAAAGAATGTTCTGGTTTAATTCGTATACAGAAATCATCAAAATTGATTATATTCAAACAATGTGTACATGGCTAAAAGTAAATTTATAAAAACATCTTCAATAATAATGACAAGTAATAGAGAAAAAGTTGAACGAAATACCCAGTGACTTTATATATGCACATTAGATAAAACTCAGTTGTTATTTTATTACTGAGATCATGAACCGATTGATGTTAGACCATCATTGAAAACCTGGAAACACTAGACGACTGTTTCGTACTAGTATGGGACTCTTCGACAGTGCGCATCCATGATCGTGCATGCGAGACTCAAACCATGGACCTATCAGTCTTGCACGCGAACGCTTAACCTCTAGACGACTGAGCCGGCATTCAGTAATGTTAATATCTAGCTTTAACAAATCCACGAAATTGTGCGACTATCTTCCAGGACCACCAGGATCTATCGGTCTCGGGTGTTGACGCTTAAATTCTACACCACTGATCTGAGATCCAACGATGTCAGTGTCTAACTTCAACCATTCCACTAACATAGGTGATCATGAGACTGGACTACACTACACTTCATATAGTTGATTGATATTGATGAATTTTATGAAATGAAATAAATTGTAGGCGTTTTGTTTTGAAGTTCAATCATGAAATCTTTATATGGTATATGACCATATTTGGGTTAAAGGTAATTGACAATTTTTGTAAAGGTTTCTTTATTGTTACATCAATCAATAATCTAACTATGAAAAATTCAAAATCAATAAACTATCTTATTAAACTAAGCCTATTTGAAAGATTCTTGTAACCGTCATAGAACTAACTGACTGGATAATATTATTACTAAGCTATTTGAACCACCATTGATCTTGTGTCGACTACAGATAATCGCACATTAAGTGATCATAATGAAATTAATACCCAGTGTCATGTTGTCAGTCGGTAACAAGGATGAGGGATATATGACATTAGTTACTGATATATTAAACATATTACATGCTTGTGTTCACACCTTATCTCAAGGTTAAGTGTTAGGTGATAAATTATAGTCGAAATACTCTACCAGAGAAAATCGATTAGGCAAGTAATCAAGGTCTCAACCTACGTGTTTTGGTCTGGGTCTACCAACGATTTGTTCACCTAGTGGTTCGATTACACTAATTGCAGTTTCTTATTAATATCTTAGTCTTTCCGATCACATAACTGGTTGGGGTTGCATGCTTGTTTATGTTGGACGTCAATGATCACAACACTACCGTCTCAACGAAATAAAGTATCAGTCAATAATTTCTATCAATATTCTTATGATCATAGTCAAGCTATGTGTTTCATGTAAAGAAGGATGAAGTTAATATAAGTTCGGACATTCTCCTGAAATCTTTAACTCATTACTTAGCTAGGATTTATGTTGTTTCATTAAATCAGTCAACTAAAACTTTTGTTTTAATCACCTGTCCATCTTTGTCATTCATATGTTCCACTAATCCAATACCAAAATCATGAAAATTACGAAAATTTTTAAAACGGTTCGCTTCAATTAATTCATTTTCTAAGTTAGGATTTGAATCTTTTGAATGATGCCATAATTCTTCAATTGTTACAGCTGGTTTACGATCTTGTAATGGTATTTGTTTCCTGAGACGTTGACGTCTAATATGATTAGCAACTTCACCACGTGGTAATTCATCCTTTGGTAGACTATCCAAAAATGAGTTCACCTTAGATCGAAAAAGAGATAAGCATATTATTATTATCATTATGATTACCGCTATTATTGTTCTTAATATTATTGTTATAGTATTAATTCACTAATCGATATCATCTTACTTACTTACTTACTTACGCCTGTTACTCCCGATCGAGCATAGGCCGCTGACCAGCATTCTCCAACCCACTCTGTCCTGGGCCTTCTTTTCTAATTCCATCCAATTCTTGTTCATTTTTCTCATGTCTATCTCCATTTCTCGGCATAATGTGTTCTTTCGTCTTCCTCTTCACCCGCATTGGTCTTCAGGATTCCATGTGAGGGCTTGTGTTGTGACGCAGTTGGATGCTTTCCTCAATGTGTGTCCTATCCACTTCCAGCTCTTCTTCCTGATTTCTTCCTCCGCTGGATCTGGTTTGTTCTCTCCCACAGTACGTTGTTGCTAATAGTGTCCAGTCAACGGATCCGATGTATTTTGCGCAGACAACTGTTAATAAACACCTGTATTTTCTGGATGATGGCTTTCGTAGTTCTCCAGGTTTCTGCACCATACAGTAGAACTGTCTTGACATTTGTATTGAAAATCCTGACCTTGGTGTTGGTTGACAGTTGCTTTGAGTTCCAGATGTTCCTCAGTTGTAAATATGCTGCTCTTGGTTTGCCGATCCGCGCCTTCACATCTGCATCAGATCCACCCTGTTCATCAATGATGCTGCCCAAACGCTAACCAGAAAAAAATTATTCAAATTAATCGATATCACCTGGGAAACTAATAAGATTTGGTGGTATTAAATAATAGCTGTGTTGTTCAAGCCTGAGAATTTATATCAACGGGTTACTGTAACCTCGTAATGGAATGAAATCAAACACCCTTACTATTTATAATAAGGTTCTATACTTACAGACCACTGAATCTGAAACCCACGAACTCAAATTTTAGACTTTAATCAACTTGGAAGGATTTTCAACAGTTACCCAATAAACTTAACTAAACTCAAAAGCTACGGCTTTCTGTAAGTCATCATGCAGTTCGTGTCAAGACCTACACATTACAAATACAAAGATACTATGATGATAATATATTTCAGTAATCTATCCTATTGATCTTCTTCGACCAGCCCTTATAAGATACAGTATTATTTATTGGTACAAGAAGGCACCAAATAGATATGCGCCACATAAATCATTCGATTTGTGTGAGGGATAGGATAGTGCCCGGGTGCTCAAACAGGAGCAGATGGTTTTCATAGGAGGCCACACCCCAGCCTTCGACCTAAAGTCTAATCCACAAGGCAGTGGAGCAACGTTAGGGGATGCAGTCCCATGGTAGCTGGTGACCAAAATTGGTTCATACACCATTTGTTCCTATAGGATCCTGGAGCCCATGTACAGTATTGGTTTGGACTGAAGGTTTTCCAAATCTCCTAGGTGGATCGATCGTCCGTATCCACTAATCCAGTTAAAGCGCCGGACATTCGCTCTTCGTGCTCTCAAGTTCGTAAACAATGGTGATGCTGCGCGAAGGCAGTGAGTAGGACTTGTGTGCACGTGGCAATGTGAGAGCATTTCGAAAGGGCGATTTAACTCTCCCCACTCTTGACAGTACCAGGTCATTTGGGGGCAAAATATTACAGAGTTGATCAATGTAGCTAATAAGTAATTTTCATTACAAATTATGGTATCACTTAAAAGTAGAAGACTGCGAATCTGATTCATCTCAACCTGAAATTATTATAGTAATGCATACCTACCGAATCAATTAATCTTAGTCTTTTCAATGGTTGAGATCATGAGTCAGTTGAAGTTAAACCACCATGGCAAACCTGGAAGCACTGGAAGGCCATTTCTTCCTATTGTATGACTCCTCAGTAGTGCATATCCACAACTCCTCCTCGCAAGATTCCGACTTAGGTTCTATCAGTCTCACGCGTGAGCCCTTAACCAACTAGACCACTGAGCCAGCCGAAATCCAATGTTGCTCATGTCTAACATCAACCAATCCACGAAATTGAGCAACACATCCATCATCGTTCTCAGTGAGTTACTATCTCACAATAGTCCTAGTTTATGAGTGATTTCAGTAGTCAGTGACTTCATTGATTGAAGTCACGTTTTGGTTTGATCATTTCTATCTTTCTTATTACATTAAGGTAGTATGGATATGTAACATCATTATAATAATAATACTACTAATCTTACCTCTACTGGTTTAACACCAATAGGTAACCAATGTAATCCAAATTGTTTAGCCAAATTTTGTGCATTCATATATTCATCATAGAATGATGATTGATTTAAATCTAATTGATCTAATATTGATTGATTAGTAAAATCATCAATATCATGTTCATAATATGCACAATGACATTGTGTACATAACATTCTATAAGAAAGAATAGAAAGATATAATTTTTACTTTGATTACCTCCATGAATGTTTCATGAAACCAGGACATTTGGATCCACATTTTAAACATGCTTTAGTATTATCTTGATCATAAGCCATAAGGTAGCGTAAATCTAAAGTGATAAGATGAACAAAAAAGTGTGAAGATTGAAGATTCATTTATATAAACAATAAAAATAAAGAAAGTTTGTTGAACTTCCTTCTTGTGTTGGGGGTACTGTTTACTAAATTGAGAGAATGAAAAGTGAATGTCCGATGATTTAACTGGGTTGGTGGATACAGAGAGTTCATCTAGGGGAGTTGGAAAATCCTGATTCCAAACCAATAGTGAACATATGCTCTAGGATTCTAAGGAAGTAAATGGCATATGAACCAATTGTTGGTCACTAGCTACTATGGCACTGTATCTCCTTACATTGCTGCACTGCCTCATGGATCAGATTTTTAGATCAAAGGCTCCGGTGTGGCCACATAAGAAAACTATCGGCTTTGATTTGGGCACCTGAGCAGTATCCCAACTCTTACATAAATCGAGTGATTTATGTGGCGCATATCTATTTGGTGCCTTATTGTACCAATGTTTATGCGTTTAAATAAATAAATAAATATTAACCAATAAGCACAGGCAATTTAACACAGAAATTTGTTTCATTGAAATCATGAATCGATCTATGTGAGACAACCTGTAAGCATAGGACAGCTATCTCGTCCTTATATGGTACTTCTCATTTGTATACATCTACTTTATCACAAGAGGGAATAGAACCCAATACCTCCGGTTAGGGAACTCTCCTTCACTTAGGAATCTTGTTCTCATCATAATCTTGTTACATGAATGGCTCATCGGTAACATCTTAAACTATGAAGCTGAACTGAGATATCAGTCCGACTAAGATTGTAACTACACTGTACTTCCAACTCTTAGATATCATGAAACGTTGATTAAGTTGAATTTCTTCTTGATTATCTCTATCCATCTAACTAACCACATGATTTCTTTATCATGTAATCTTAATAAAGTACCCCTTAAAATCTAACAAATTCTTTGATTGTAAAACAATTTCATAAGAATAACTTACTTGTATGATCAAATAATCGACTTATTTTTCTCCTTAAAAACTACTAACCACCACTAATAAGTAGTATAGTTACCCAAGATTTATATATTCAATAAGAAAAATATATGTGTAATATATGATAATCCTTTCTATAAATAAGTTTAAATGACATTCGAATTGATCGACTGATTGATTTCTGGCTGTCTGTCACAACGTAGTATGTACGTATATATATACAAATGAAGTAAGTAATCGATTCATTAACTAATTAGTAGATAGTATCAGAAAGGGTTTTATGGTGATTGTAGTAATTTCAACAGTTCAGATCATGAGTCAGTTGAAGCAAGATCACCATGGAAAACCTGAAAGCACTGGACAGCCGTTTTGTCCTAGTATGGGACTCCTCAGCAGCACGCATCCATGATCCCGCTTCGCGGGATTCGGACCCAGGACCTATCAGTCTCGCACCATGCGCTTAACCAACTAGACCACTGAGCCGGCCGGTATCCGGCGGTGTTAATGTTTCAGTCAGTCAGTAAGTCAGCTACAACGTAGGACCAGGCACATATGTGCATCGGTCCAGGTTGCCAAACCTCACTAGCATAGCAAGATGAACACCGGATTCATAGGAGTGGTTAGGTCAAAGGTGGTAATATATAGGAGAAAGATTACAGTAAGGATATAGTACAGGAAGAAAGAATCAGTTGGTTGGTAGAGAGAAAGATATGAAGTGATTTTAATCTCTTAGTTTAAGGGAAGATAGAGTGTATACACCTACGCCATTGTGACCGATTCTGAGCCATGTCACACACAATCTCCGACCATTGGTTACGAAGGTCACCCGGACCCCAACCAAGTAGCCTGCATCTACCAACATGACTCAGAATAGAAGTTAGTGATTTCAAGCACTGATGCCACGTTTTGGTTTGGGCGCCCCTAACTTTCTTCCAACCATCTCCAACACCGGTTAGCATTGCACGTCGTGGTAATCGGTGTTCAGGCATACGTAACACGTGGTCCAACCATCTCAGTCGATGAAGATTCACAACCGCATCAACTGATTTACCATCATTCCCTAATACCCTGCGTCTAACCTCACTATTACTTACCCGGTGATCCTAGCAGATGCCAGCAATATTTCTAAGGTATCTGTGGCCAAATACTAGTAGCTTAAGAGTGTCTTCTACTCTTAATGGCCATGTTTCGCTGCCGTAAATTAAAACAGAACGGACTGCCGCGCAGTATACTCGTCCTTTTATTGATAGACGGATATCTCGCCTTCGCCATAGGTGATGTAAGTTGGCAAAAGCGAAATGAGCTTTTCGAATCCGTGCTGAGATTTCGTCCGATACCAACCCATTAGGGCTGATCAGACTTCAACTAATCCACGAAATTGAGCCACACATCCACCATTGTCATTAGTGAGTTACTATCTGAACAACAGATTCAGTTCAACTCCACGAGTCACGACTTCTCACTAGATCTCCAGGAAATACCTCTTGTAGTCAGTCACTAGTAAGCTGATTATGATTATTATCAGAAGGGAGTTTTGTGAAAGATTATAGTAATTGAATAATTGAATTCATGAGTCAATTCAAACTAGACATCTATGGAAAACCTGGAAACACTGGGCGGTCGTTTCGTTCTATTGTGAGATTCCTCAACAGTGCATATCCATGATCCCACCTCATGAGATTCAAATCCAAAACCTATCCGTTACGTGTACAAACACTTAATCTCTAGACCATTGAACTGGTATCAAGTAGTGTTCATGTTTAACTTCAATTAATCCACGAACTTAAGCGACACATCCACCATTGTCATCAGTGAGTTACTACCTCACAACTGACCCTGTTGAACTCCACTTGTCCAATGCTTCCAGATTTTTCATGGTGGGCTAGATTCAATTGACTCATGATCTCAACTGTTGTAATTAGTAGATAGACAAATTGTTTTTATTCAAGAGAATCATGGAAAATCTAATCTTAGATCAATTTGAGGTAAACTGAGAATTAGCGTATACAAAGCAGTTGTATTGGACCTGGGTTTTTTTTGTTTTATTACTTAGCATTAACTTATTTGGGGATCTAATAATGAAGTAACTATATACTGGTTAAAATATTCAAGTTTTAATAAACAGATTGAATTTTTTTTGAAATCTGTTCTTTATAGTTTATTAACGTAACTAGTTTCATATAGACAAAACGATCTTCATTCAGAAGAATTATGATGCCCATGTTGAAAGACGAGATTGTTCGGAAGTCACGAGATGATGCCTCTTTAATAGCCCGAGCAATAATTAATATAGGTACATGGAATGTTCAGACAATGTGAGGGTTCGGGAGGACCGATCAAATAGCTATGGAAATGAGCAGATACAAATTAACGGTGCTTGGAATAAGTGAAAACCATCAAACCCAAGATGGACACCAAAGGTTAGATTCGGGAGAGAAGCTGTTGTGCTCTAGTCACGAAGAAGGAAATGTTCCACATACTTAGGGATTTGCTTTGATGTTGTCTGAAGAAGCACGTAATGCACTTATCGGATGGGAAACTCACGGATCCAGGATCATCAAGCATCCTACTATATGAAGAAGGAGGGGATCACGATGAATGTTATCCAGTGCCGTGCACCCACTAATTATAACAACGACGACAATACAGATCAGTTTTATGAAAGGCTGATCTCGGCCGTAGAGAAGTGAATAGGAAGGGACACAACCATACCGATGGAAGACCTAAACACCAAAGTCGAAATGAACTACACTGCATACGAAGATATCATGGGACGACATCGACCGAAGAAAGAAACGAGAATGATGATGAATTCGTAAATTTATGTGCATTCAGCAAAAAGTAACAGGCGGTACAATATTCCCACGCAACTGTATGCACAAAGTTACATGGATCTCACCGGATCGCACTACAGAGAATCAGATCGATCATATTTGCATCACTAAAAATTAGAGAAGGTCAATGGAAGACATTAGAACCAATAGAATAGCTGATATAGCTTCAGATCGTCACCTGGTGGCTGCCTAGACGAAATTGAAGCTAAAGAAGTAATGTACGATTGGAGAAAAGGAATCATAAAGGTTGAATACAGCCTTCCCTCAACATACTGACAAACTCAATGAATTCAAGATAACTATCGACATTCGGTTTCAAGCCTTACAAGATCTCCTCAAAGAAGAAGAAACCACTATGGAGGACAATTGGAAAGGGAATAAAAAGTATCAAGTTCAACGTTCAGGAGATTCTGGACCGCAAGCTGCATCATCAAAGGAGTGAATCTCTATGAAAACCCTATGGAGTATTTAAAGAAAGAAGAGCAAGAAGACAGTAATTAACAACAGTCGAACAAGAACAGAGTAAGTCAAGGCACAAGATGAATACACAGAAACCAGCAAAAAAGTGAAGAAGAGCACTAGAGCTGACAAGCAGAAATACATGGAAGAACTAGCAACGACAACGGAAAACGCTGTAAGAGAAGAAAATGTGGAACAACCATATAACACAACGAAGAAACTGGTATGAAAATACAGTAAACCAGAGAGACCAGTCAAGGACAAAGAATGCAAGGCAATCATTGAGATTCCAGAACACAACGGTAGAATACTTCAGAGAACTCTGGAATAGACCATCTCGCTTGAATACACCGGATATTGGAGTAGCACACACAGACCTTCCTATAGATGTCACTCCACCAACGATCGAAGAAATCAGGATGGCCATCAACCAAATCGATGGGGGGGAAAGCAGCATACCTGACAAAATACGATCTGAAGGTCTGAAGTCAGACATAAAAGTAACTGCGAGCATGGTTCACACTCTATTTAACAAGATTTGGACGGAACAACAAGTGCTGATGGACTGGAAACAAGTACATCATCAGAATATCAAAGAAAGCAGATCTGATCAAATGTGAGAACTACAGAGACATCACATTGTTCCTAGTCCTATGAAAAGTTTGCAACATTGTGTCACTGAACCGGATGAAAGATTCAGTAACACCTGACTTCGAGATCAACAGGCTGTATT